TAGAACAATCCTGAAGTGCATTCCCAAGCAGGCGTGTTTCTGGCACAATAGATTGCATAAGATGCACAAAGTGCGCACTTTCCAAGTCTACCTTTAAGATGTCTGGCTTCATGGTCTTTGTGACTGACCGGACAGAGTGACTTCAGCTTTGCAATGTTCTCGCCATTAATCCACCCTCTGCTTCCTACTTCAACTGTAACAAGAGTAGCCCTGTATCCACTATGAAAGTTAATGTCATTAACCAGACTTTCGTACTTCGCCGATTTTCTATCCTCGGCGTCCTGTGCATTCTGTTCAAACGGGACGGTAAGTTCAATCAGGGTCAGCGTTCGTTTGACAGGATCCTGGACTGTGATGTCAGGTACCAGCGGTGTCGGTAGGATGTCTGGGGGAATTGTGGTGTGTGTACCTCCTTCCAGGTAGTCAGGGCTTAAGTCACACCTGATTATGACCTCTGGGTTGGACTTTGCATGCCACAGCTTAAGGGTGCTGACTAGTTCCATAAGGACACTATTATGTCGCCAGGTATACCTGTCCTTGAGGGCTACAGGGCACATGTTGAGGACATGACGCAGAGTCTGCCGTCCTTTGCAGAGTGGGCACTTCGGTGAGAGGACTTTTCCCCAGCGGACCAGGTTATCAGCTGGTTATGTCTGTCCAGATCTGTCTTGTTTATATGTCATAGTGATGTATACTACAAGCTGGCACATAATGGCCTTTTGTGGAATTGATCAATCGGCACTGTACGTATGTACTGAGTTCTTGAGTCATGGAGCTTCAGTAGCCTGGGTGCCATCCTCCAGAGTTACCACCGGCTCTGTATTGTCACTACGAAGGCCTAGAGCCAGGCCAGAGTCTCGGAGGACATGCTCTTTTTTTAGAACAGGCGAAAATCAATGTGCAGTGTGGCTTAAGTCAGCATATATGTAGTATTACATGTATGTACATGTACAGGTACATGTTACACTTACTTACAGGCATTCATAATGTATAACCAGGGTACAAATCCCATCCTACACGTATAAAGTACTTTGAGTCAGTACTGTGTCCACACCTGTGTCTTGTGTTTCCTGAGTTTTGCGATTTGTTCCCCTTTGGCCTCCATTCTCTTGACCAGCTGCTCCAGTTCCCTCTCCAGATCCTCCCGTCCTAACGTGTTGTCTGCCTGTCTGATCTGCCGTGTCAGGTCCTGGTGCTCACTGCAGAACAACATGGAACAAACTTAGTTTTAGAAGAAACAATGTACTAAATTAATCTACGTGTATCTTTATGAAAATAATTCATCCATGAAATGCAGGAGTGTGATACTGAACCATGGCGATTTTTACTTGGGGCAACCTATTTTTGAACCTAGGTAGCCCAGTGTGCAACCTGAATCCCCCCCCCCCATCAAAATCATGCCCACTTGGCTTGCACCTCTGTATCTGGAAGATGCTTTAACTTTAGGTATTCATGGCTATTACTAGTATCAGTACTAAAGGCTGTTAGAAATATTATTGTCAAAGGCTTACATGCATGTATGTAACATAACTTAATTTGAAGAAAGTAGTAACTTATAGGTGGGGCAGCCTAAAATTCTGATGGGCAACCTAATTTTTGGTTCAAAAAAGTATTTTGTACACTGACAGTACTTACAAGCTCATTTGTCCAAACTCGTCCTGAAGTCCCTGCAGCAGGTCAGACAGCTCGCTCTCCGACGCGCTCGCTGTGGACGACTCTCCTGATGACGGCAGCAGCCTCCGCGCTGTCTTCCGATTGGCCATCTGGTCATTGCATAGCGCAGGATTGTGACGTTTCATGAGGGCGATTACCCGCTGTACATTAGCACCTAATGAATGACTAGGGGTAGTGGCCTGACAAACCAGCCAGAGTACAGCCAGTTAGAGAAGCAGAGATGAAAAAAGCAGTTGTAAGGGAGGGAGGGGGGGGGTGGTAGGTTGGGACAGACAAATAGTAGTAATCAGTGGATGGTATTTATTTAATTAGGTGTTTGTTGAGTTTTGAACTTTTTGAGTTCAACTAAAAATTTCTTATTAAGTGATCTAAATGAAACACATCACAAGTTTACAAAATTTAATGTTGTTCAAGCACATGGTGCAGTTTTATTCGCCCATGCTGGCATGCTTTAACAAGCTGTGTTACTGGTAAGCATCCTTAGAATTTAGGTGAAAATTACACACACCTAGCGTACATTCTATTCTCAAGGACTAGATGGATTGTCTTGTGCAGGAAAAACTACATTGTACCACGGGTAGGGAAACTGATTAATACCCTGTGAGTGTTCCGAAAATAATTTCATCAGGTTGGTAGAACTTAGGAGACAGGCATTTCTTTTTACACCACTGGTAAATTCTCACCTTGCTGACATTTCGGTGTCTATCAGACACCTTCCTCAGAGCTTCTGACTGGAGTACTGCATCTCGCCACTATATATATGTAGCCAATGTAGGTGGCGCTTTTGCGGCGAGGACACTGTCCCAAACGTATAAAAAGTTATAGACAGAGTAGACAAGAAGAACCCACAGGATCAAGCAGGCAGTTTGGATCAGAAAGTCAGCCCGAAATGAACCGGGACGAGGGGGGGTACAAACTAAGCCACATTTGGGACAGTGTCCTCGCCGCAAAAGCGCCACCTACATTGGCTACATATAGCGGCGAGATGCAGTACTCCAGTCAGAAGCTCTGAAGAAGGTGTCTGACAGACACCGAAACGTCAGCAAGGTGAGAATTTACCGGTTGTGTAAAAAGAAATACCTGTCTCCCTGTGAGTGTTGTTTGGACAAATGTCATAATTACATGCTCACCTTTCCTGCCACAAAGGGTATATCCCCCAGGTTGAGTCGGTAATGTGTTCCTGGCTGTGTCCGCGGTCTGTTAGATACCTGCTGTTTGGATACTTTCTGCACATCACAGGGCCAGGAATACAGCAGTGGGGAGGAGGAAAGGAAACGTGAAGAAATACAACATACTTCAACCATGGGATATAAAACAATATATTTCATCTGTACCTATGGTATGGAGTGAAATATAATACAGCCAGCCCCTTAGGCCTGCATTGGCCAAGATATATAAAGACAATTGATGCTGGTGGCCAACACATGTACTATTGGTGACAAGCTATATACATTTTATGTCATACCTGTGCTGCGATTACATTCGACACGAGTGTTCTGGCCCGTGTGATAACTAGCGGTACGTCCCAGGGGGTTCTTAACGCGTACGGCCCAAGCTTCCAAGTGTTCCATAGAATGATTTGAACGCGTTTCGCCCTAACCGCGTGCACCGCTTTCGAAATTCGAATACAAAATTCGGACGTTGGAATTGTTGCATTTCTTGGGTTTAGGGACACCAAATTCTAGCTCATTTTGCATTGAAAGGCATGTTTTCTTGGGTGGGTATGACATATATAAAATACAAGTTACAACACGGTGTATTCTGCATCACCCTCGGTCCCAGCCCTCCCATGGATCGGATCTCCCTCCAGCCTTTGGGTGATCCGAGGCGTGGTTGGGCTGGTACCTCGGGCGATATGGAATGCCCTGTGTTGTATTCTATATGTATATATGTACATGTACATGTACCACTAGGAGTTCCTAGGATTCTTGGAATGGGCATATTATTAAGAAATACTATCAGGCTAGCCCCTAAGGTGCCCCCTCCTACAAAGAATCGTCTGCTCTTCTAACAGCACATGTTGGTGCTTGTAAAATTAATAGGAACACACATCTGACTGACAAGCTTTTCTCTAAGGCTCACCTTTTTCTTCACTTTCTTCTTCTTTGGTTTGGGTGAAGATTTGGGAGAAGCAGCCTCTAACAAAATTCTGTTAGTCTCAGCTTGTGTTTGTAGCTGTAACAGGCACAGGCATGCTGGCATTACATGCTGCACAAAATACCACCACAACAAGACCTCAGCAAACAGTAGTTACACCTGAAAACATTTACTTACTAATAAGGCCACACCAATCTAATTTCTTGGTTAACAGATTTTTCTAGAGAAACAATGGAGCGGGTGGGTGAAAAAAATAAAAAATAAAAACAAGCCAAGGCATCCTATTATGGCCCAAAATGGTACGATAGGAGCCATGAAGTCAACACACCAGGCTGGTTCAAAATTTAAACAATGAATTTTGAACTTTTAATGATACCACTGCATTGAAAGATGGAATAACTGTAACAAGTAGGAAGAAAAGGACTGTTTTCAACTGTTCAGGGCAAAATAAGAGCATTTTGCAGTTGATTCTGACTTTTTATTTTTATTTTCAAATCAGAAAAAAATGAAGTGGGCGAATCCTTTAACCAAGAAATTAAATTGGTGTGGCCTAGGCCTGGAAAACCAAAGCTAAGTAACATCCTGGATTTGTGTGGGTGAGTGTACATTATACATGAAATTGTTATTCATTAAAATGACCAGGTAAATTGTAGGGTCAATGAAAGTTTCAGTTTGCTGCGTGTTAATAGGGGAAAGGAGAACCTACATGTACACCAATTATATAATTAAAAGGTCACTGTTGTCCCTTTCTGATTATTAATTGTTAGTATTTCCCAAACAATCAAACAAACAAGTAAGTCAGTTTCTGAACAACAGTCCTTATCTACGTAATAACGTTTATTTTTCCACATTCCTGTTTGTTGCATTACTTCTACTGTAGTCCTAACAATGTCCTCACCTCTGCTGTCCGTTGTTGTACCAGCTTTCTCTGGTGCTGCTCTTCTTTCAATCTCTCCTGTAACTCCTTGATTTTGTTCTGTAATTATGAAAAGAGCTGTTCAGTGGTAAGTAAAGCTGTTCAGTGGTAAGTAAAGCTGTTCAGTGGTCAGTAAAGCTGTTCAGTGGTAAGTAAAGCTGTCCAGTGGTAAGTAAAGCTGTTCAGTGGTAAGTAAAGCTGTTCAGTGGTAAGTAAAGCTGTTCAGTGGTAAGTAAAGCTGTTCAGTGGTAAGTAAAGCTGAGTGAAAATGAGTCACAAAACAGTAGAAACCTGCCTTCCTGGCAATTTAATCTCAACTACATTTTGTATTTCTAAAATAACATGCATAATACATGAATACATTTTGAAATGATAGCACAGTTGGTGTACAGTGATAAAATAGCTGTGACCTCATCACCACAATAGAAATGTGAAGACATCACAATACCATTGATAGTGGTCAATGATGGGAAATTAACTAAAGGTGAACATCATTAGACAACAATAAATCAGGACCTCATTTGCATATCAATAAGAAAATGCTAAAATAGCCTTCTTTGCTCATAAAATACCAGTAACACTGTTCATACTTGAGACAACTTGTACCATCACTGGTACCTCATGTACAGAGGAATTGATTGAATTCTCTAACTACAGATCAGAAAAGGTCAGACACAGGAAGTTAGGTCCCAGGAGCAGGCTAGTTGGTAAGCCAGGTGCCAGTGAGAGACCATCACTGCTCACATCTGTCGACAATTTGAAAAATGAATAAAACAAGAAGTTCAAAAAAAGAGGTATAGAATCTCTTATTTCTTGTTTGGTTAGAAGAGAGAGAGAGAGAGTTGTTACAAACCTCAGCTAATGTCTGCATGGCTAACAACTTCTGCTGCTCCCTTTCCAGGTCTGCAAGTTTGTCTGCCTTACCAAGGGCTTCTTGTCTGTCAGAGTTTTGATAGAGAAAAACAATGTGTTAGATCTGTGAACAGAAGGTTGGTAAGTCATTGCGTGAGGAGACTCTTTTACACAACCAAGTGTTTTATTTATCCCATGCATCTATTAGCAGTGACATCTACATTGTATGCTGTGCCCTAAGTTAGGTGACAGATGTCAACGAAATGTCAGCTGAATAAAACGTTTGGTTGCGTGAAAAGAGTTACCTTATTCATTCAACATATTAGGTTACCTTGAAATACATTACCGTACTTAGATACATGTAACATTAAAAGCTTTAGAGAGTCATGGTTTCACAGTATGATATGTACAATCAATTCCAAAAGCCCGCTTTAGAAAAATACTACTGTACTAGTATGTGCAACAAACATTTCCACCTACAACGTACAAGTACTAGTAAACATCAGCTGGACTTCAAATGTTTGTGACTGAATAGGTCCTTCCATATACATGTACAATTACATGTCATTGTGATTCTCAAGATAAGTCTGTCAGGTGGACTGAGATAAAGATTGAGAACAGTAACATATGCTAAGGAAACACTGACAGGGACTGATACAGAAGTCAGTAACATGCACCTGTGAGCTGGGGAGAAGTCTGGCACTGCTGTCTTCTCATCTCTGATACAGGAGGAGGGAAGATACATGATTGTATGTGAACATACAACAGAAAGTAGTACAGTATAGAGGTGTACACTGTCAGGGAGAATATCCTTGTAGTCATTCTGATCAAGCAGTCAAATGGCAAATATACATTGTAACTGCTTAGTGATTAGTACACTGATTACACATATTAACAGAAATGTTGAGTGCTATAACTACTGTGAACATTACATAAATTGTTCATATTTTGTACACAACATCACAGATTGTGCCAACAGATATTACATGACACCCATTTTTTTCTGCGGGTGCACTGGTGTACCCAACTATATTTGTAGATATTTTATACATATCAAATGTATAATAGTATACAGAATATCCTTGGCATCTAAGTGTCAGATAAATAATAAAATCTTTCTTGTACTACTTGTTTGAGGTTTTGAAGTTAGCTCCCATTTTGAATTCAAGCTCAGAAGAGAAGCAGTATTCTAATTATGATTTGTTTTATATGGTGCACCCCAAAAATTTTTTGTGCACCTAATTTTTTTTAGGTTAGGTGCACCAGTGCACCTGTTCCCAAAAATGAATTGACATGTAGTACCTACCTGGTAAACGTGTCCCTCTCCCTCTCCAGTGCCACCTGTCTGTCCATGGCCCTGTTTCGTTCAGTCTCCGCATTTTGGACCATTTTCCTCATGTAGTCCAGCTGTTTCTCCAGCAGGTTACAGCGCATTTCTGCTGCAGACAGCTGGCTCTCTATCTCTGCACAAACACACGACAGGCAGCAGGTGACTTACTGATTTGGTATCTGTGCAGTACAGAAGACATGATTGCACAACTACTGTAGTCTGTGGATGGTAGAATGTAGGACAACTTGTACAAACATATAGGTTTAACTATTGCTCATTCCTAACAAGTCTGAGAATTTTTTAGACACTCTAACTATGCTAAATAAATTCTTTAATATTTTTCATAAATCATAACCATGGAGTAGACATAATGTGTCTGTGTAGAGACAAACAATTTTTATCCTAACTCCTAAGTGATCAAAGTCAATGTGGATAATACTGTTAGACCACAATTAAAGAGTCAACTTGACTTGGAATGAGATGAATGCTTGGGGACTGCTTCAGTGAGTGGTACATGTACATGTAGTGTGGTCACCTATTCTTTCAACACTATTCTTTCAGAGCCAATGTTAAGACTAAAGCCACACAAACTGCAGCGGACAGACACAAAAAATGACACCCCACCAGCATGTGGAGGGAATTCCACCTGGTTTACCAAAGTAATTAGTTTTAAGCTGAAGAAAGCAAACAACACTTATAGCAATACACTGTGAGTAGAGGCAGGTAGTACAAAATGAAATGCATTATAGCCCCAGGGCTAAAAATACTGGGTGCATATGCACCTTTTATATCATACCCGGGCCGCGATAACGTTCGATAACGGGTTCCAGACCGGGCCGTACTTTACGGTACGGCCCGGTCCGGAACCCGTTATCGAACGCTTCCATGGCTTCCATAAAACGATTCGAACGCGTTTCGCCCTACCCGCTTGTGCCCCTTTCGAAAATTCGAATACAGAATCCGGACGTTGGAACTGATGTTGTTGCATTTTAGGGTTCAGTGGCACCAACTTTTGGCTTATCTTGCATTGAAAGGCGTGTTTTCTTGGGTGGGTATGACATAAATAAAATACAACACGGTGTATTCCGCATCGCCCTCGGTCTCGGCCCTCCCGCGAGTCGGATCGCCCTCCGGCCGGCGGGCGATCCGACGCGCGGTCGGGCCGATACCTCAGGCGATACGGAATACCCCGTGTTGTATTCTATATATATATATTAGTGCAGGTATTTCTGATGTCTACCTGCACTGGTCCATGTACAGGGTTATATATGATACATTGGGTGTACATTGATTTTTCTTTGCTGCATTCCCTGTTACCACCTATGAAGTATAAAAGAAATAATTGTCATGGTTTCTGAACAGTCTGTTTTTAGTATGATCCATACTTTTGAATTCTGAGTTGAACTTGTGCAGGTAAAATTTGTCTGGTGCAGGTAATTTTTACTTGTTGCATGTACATGCACCAGTGCAGGTATGCAGAAAAAGTATTTCAATCCCTGAGCCATGTGATAAAATGTAGTGTACTTTGCAGCAAGAAAAGACATGGCAGTAATTTATCACCTACCTGAGTACAGGTACAGTAGCACATGAAGGTGTATGTTGGGGGAGTGCCAGAGAAAAGAAGATATCACAATCATCAATACAACAATTACCAAAATTTACTTGCACAAACGTGTATAAAATAGGAAGAACAAAAGCTTTGTGGCAAATATTGTCCTGATTTTGCTTTTGTGGAGCTTTTGACAGTGATAGAAGGCAGTGAAAATGACTCTTCCCATATGTTTTGTCTTAGTCCAGAAGCGACTGTTCTTGTATTCTCTACAGTATGTGCAAGTGTGTTGGGTTTGTTGCAGACAGTACCAGGAATGATAGTAGCATGCACATCTTCATTGCTTCCTGCATGCAGCGGAAGAGAGGCTCTCCACAGCTCACTCTGAATGTCTACTACACCATAGTACCGGAGAGAAGACAGGACAGTTATGCTGTATACTACATCTACAGACATCTACAGACATCTACAGACTAACACATCTATGGACTAACACATCTACAGACTAACACATCTATGGACTAATATATCTACAGACTAACGCATCTATGGACTAACACATCTACAGACTAAGACATCTATGGACTAATATATCTACAGACTAACACATCTACAGACTAACACATCTACAGACTAAGACATCTATGGACTAATATATCTACAGACTAACACATCTACAGACTAACACATCTACAGACTAACACATCTATGGACTAATACTTCTACGGACTAACACATCTACAGACTAACACATCTACGGACTAACACATCTACGCACTAACAGCTGTGTACGTTTACTGGAGCCAGCAACTATGATGTTGTTTGAAGAATGCATGCACTGACAGACTTGGAGACTTAAGCTTGGAGATCAGACAGAGATAAATAAGGTGGAAACCATTGAGTTTGCCATTCATGGCCTGACACTTGGCCTCTCCTTGTGACAGCTGGTCCATCATCTGCTGGAAGGAAGCTCTAGGTTTAGCTAGAAGGAAAAACAGACAAGATAGAAGCTTTAGAGAAGGGACCTGTCTGTTCTGAGAGTCCAACATACAGTAGGTATGAAAAATGTGACATCTTGTGGAGAGAAAAATGTGTAGAACAGCAGAAGAGGGTCTAGTAGACACACAAGTTTGATTACAATTGTTTGCATTCATACAATCAATGGCAGCCTTTATTGGCAGATCTTCATGAAATGCTGCTAGAAGTAGAACCTGTATGAGTAGGAACTTTCTCATGTTCACCTGCACCTGACAGCACTGATCTATAAACTGGGGAGGAAGATTTTTGTAAGCTTTAAGTTGATTGCTATTTGTAGAATTTGCATTACGGTCACACCAATTTAATTTCTTGGTTAACGGATTCTGATTTGCAAATAAAAATAAAAATTCAGAATCAACTGCAAAATGCTCATATTTTGCTCTGAACAGTTGAAAACAGCCCTTTTCATCCTAGTTGTTACAGTAATTCCATCTTCCAATGCAATGGTATCTTTAAAAGTTCAAAATTTATTGTTCAAATTTTGAACCAGCCTATATATAGCTAGTGTGTTGGCTTCATGGCTCCTATCGTACCATTTTGGGTCATAATAGGATGCCTAGGCCTGTTTTTATTTTTTTTCGCCCGCCCGCTCTATTATTTTTCTAGGAAAATCTGTTAACCAAGAAATTCAGCATGGTGTGGCCTAAATGAAGAATTATTGAGATTCTCCTGCATATTTTCTTGGCAGAATTGTAGCGTGTTGGCCTGAGCATGTCTCTGAGACCTGAACCTGTGACTAAGGAAGCTACATGTTTGTACCTTGACTGTGCCTGGACAGAGGGATGGTTGGTTCCCTGACCTCTGACCTCTCCTCCTCTTCTTCAGACTCTCTCTTCTGTAGAGCATCCTTGTACTGTTGTGTTTCTGACGCCAGCGAACGCAGGTTATCCTCAGCAAGAGTACGCTCCAGTTCCAGCTTCCTGATTTTGTCCTGTAGCCCTTTCAGTGCTGAAATCACAGCTTTGGGGAAAGAAGAGTGGTATTTACATGTATTTGCATCTATCATATGTACAATCTGGCATACACAAGTTCACTTGTTTGTTACATGTACAGTACAGGGCTTCATAATAATTATCCACTCACAACCTGCAGTTTCCAATTGCATAGATCTTATTATTTAGAATCTGATGATCATATTCTTCTCAGAAATAACAGATCAATGAAAAGGATCTTATTCTACCACTTCCTCATAGATTATCAGGGCTCGAAATACTGGGTGCATCACAGTGCACCTTTGTGCACCTAAAATTGGAGCTGTGCAACCATTTTTTTTTCTGTTGGTGCACCCAAAAATTTTTGTAGGTATTTTTTAGTAATTTTACATCAAATGTATAATATTGTACATGATATTCTTGGCATCTAAGTGACAGAAAAATAATAAAATCTTTCTTGTTTTCCCAATCCCATTTCGGGTTCAAGCTCAGAAGAGAAGCAGTAAGATCTGTAATTATGTTTTGTGTTTTATATGGTGCACCCAAAAACTTTTTTGTGCACCTAATTTTTTTAGGTTGAGTGCACCAGTGCACCTATCCCAAAAATGAATTTCGAGCCCTGATTACGAGTATGCGAATGAGGTCCTGATGTTTACTGGGTGAGTTCAACTGTACATCACTGGATCCAATGTGAGGATGAAAACATAATTACCTCTGCTGTTACTCTCAGGAAAGGACGACACAGGTTTGTTGGGTGATCTGGTATATTCTGGATAGTTGATGAAGGGTCTTGTAGGGGGATACTCCTGGTATGATGCTAAGGAAGGGGACCTGTCAAACCCTGAGGCACCCTCCGGCTGGTATGTAGTTGGTCTGCCAGGGGAGCCATCATATGGACTGGGCTGGACACGGAGATGGGAATACAAGGTACAAATGTACATTGAACTACTGTCACAGTGTCAGATTAACCAACATACGTGTAACTATATACAATTGCGTCCTTGCCGAAAAACCGGCATCTACATCGGCTAGTACATATAGCAGCGAGAAGCAGAACTCTAGTCAGAATCTCTGCAGAAGGTGTCTGATAGACATCGAAACATAAGGGTAGCAGGTCATTTCCCACCATGGCTTTTCAAGTCAATGTGGTCATTTCCCCATCAGTGGCTATGACTCCTAGTTGTTTTTAAAACCTAAGATAAACATAGGTTACTATAGGTGTTTACATGTGATACTTAGTGCGATATCTGTATTTTTTTTTGTAGTTTCTCCCTAGAAATCATCTAAACATAAGCACTTAGGTGAGGAATTTTGGTTGTGTAAAAGAAAACTCCTAAATCCTATAACTTACCAGCCTGATGAATCTATTTTCAGAAAAGTTACTAACTTTGCGCTCATGTGGAATATTATGGCAGTGTCAAATTTGCCTGTGGAGACAACTCTCGGCTTGGCTTCGTTATTATCATTTTAATTTGTCTATTTATGAGAGAACCCGATCACGCTGGGCGTACTCTAGTAGTGAGTGACATGCACAGATGTACGTGACAGATAATTGGACTTTTGAAAATTGAATACATGATTCGACTGTTTGCAAATTGCTTTCCCGCCCCACATATCTAAATCATGTATCAAAGAACTGATCAGGTGATTTTATGTCCTAGTATGTGTCCCTGCCTGGTGATGTACTAGTATGTGCCCTAGCTGTGGGAGGGGGGGCGACTCTTCATTCGCGTACCGTAAACAACCATACCTAGACAAACACAGCCCCTGTAAGGCTGTAACCCAGAAATTCAATGATTCCCCGTCTACTTACCGATCTGAACTCATTTGCCATTCCCCGGACTCCCCCGTAGCCTCAATTATTGTTAAAATTTACAAGAATTCTGCTTGTTTTACTCCGTTTGCTTTTGACATCCACCTTTTTTGAAAGTTCAACAGCCGAACATCCGGGTTCCCGCCGAGATCTGCTGCCCTCTGATTGGTCACCTCTCCCTGACCCCTCCACACATTGAAGGCATTAAAATAAAGTTAATTGTGATTTGTAAGTCATAATACAAGAATACAAAAGTCTATTAAGTTGAGAAATAATTCTTGTTATTTATTTCAAAGCCAATATGATGCTATTTTGTGAGTAAGAGACGTGATTTTTCTAGGTATCAAATAAATGGGAAATGTTATGTTTCATCGCCCTCCTTCCGCCATTTTCGACGCGATCGCAGGGACGTTTCAGTAACGTTGCTTTTGCAGCTGCCAAAGAGGTATTTTATTTGATTGTATATGACTGGATGTACCTGTTCCAGTCAGAAAAACAGTAACCAAGATGTCTGGGTACATGTACAATGTGAACGCCATCAAAAAGCTGAGTGACCAGGAACTGAGCTCAGGGTCAGGGAAGTCGTGGCACGACCAGTACAGCGACAGTGCCTGGGTTTTTGTTGGCGGACTTCCCTACGAGTTAACAGAGGGCGACGTTCTCTGTGTCTTCTCACAGTATGGAGAAATTGTCAACATCAACATGGTACGTGACAAGAAAACCGGGAAACCAAAGGGCTTTGCTTTTATCTGCTACGAGAACCAGAAAAGTACCGTCCTGGCTGTAGACAACTTCAACGGTGTGAAGATAAAAGGCAGGACCATCCGCGTGGACCACGTCGCCAGTTATCGTGTGCCGAAAGAGCACGAAGATGAGGATGAAATAACCAAGAAAATCAGACAAGAAGGCGTCGCACCCAGAACACCGCCACCGTCTGAGTCAGAAGAGGAGTATCAAATACCAACAAAGAAAGCAAAGAAGGAGAAAAAGAAGAAAGAGAAGACTAAGAAAAAGAAGGAGAAAGACAAAGAAAGAGCTCCACTGAGAAGCACCCCACAGTCCACGTCACCTCGTGTACGGGTGAAGAAGGAAAAAGATGATCCAGGGTACAGAGCAGCAGAGTTGGGGAGGTCTGCTGCCAGGCCAGCGGATATACGTGGTAACAGAGGAGACAGAAGTGACAAGAAACAAGAAGGGGATTTAAACTACAAGGAACTGGACTTAAGACGAAACAGAAGTCCAGGGTACAGGGAGGAGAGATGGGAGAGAGGCAGCAGAGATGCAAGAGACACCAGAGATGAAGAGGGGAGGGACACTAGAAATGCTGCTTCCAGCAGACGCGATGGTGGACGGGATGTGAGAGAAGCACAGGACAGGCAAGACTACAAGGGTTCCAGATACTATGATCACCAGGACAGCAGGCAAGATCGGGACAGAAGAGACGTACAGAGCTCTAGGGACAAAAGAGATGACAGTTACAGAGAAAGGGATGACAGGAACCAGAGAGGTGGCAGTCACAGCTGGGAGAGACAAGCTAGAAAGCAAGGAAGGAGAGAAAGGGATGATAGAGAACATCATACTGGCAGGAGTGGTACTGACAGGGACAGTAAAGCCACAGCTTACAGTGACCCTTGGGACAGAGGGCAACGTGACAAGGAGAGAGGGAGGGAAAGAGATAGAAAGGACAGAATGGGACATGGAGAAAGAAAGAAAAGCCAGGATAGAGAGTATCAAGACAGGCGATGATGGATACATGTGTTAATATCTTGCAAACTGGCTTTAAGCTTGCAAGTTCTGTTGTCATGTAAGATCAGTAACTGTTTGATTTTGATGTTTCTAAATTGTAGGTCTCGTCTATGCCAAGAATTTTCTGTTTTATCTGATTCAATGTTGAAGTGTCCGTAATTCATTTCAGCTTGGCTTGAAGAAAAAGTCAATCTTTCTGTTTTAACCTGAGCAGTATAATACTGAAGTGACACTGGTATGTTCTTTTAGCCTGCCAAATTGTAACTATTTTTTTTTCGCAAACTGCAAGCCCTGCCATAATTTGGAATTGTATTCAACAAATGCTCTGTAGATTAATTATGTTGACACACTGTTTATTCTTATGATTACAAATACATGTACATGTGCTACTTATACATGTGTTCAACTATGTTTGAAAGTGCTATGCTGAATTTCAATGAGCCGACAGTTGTAATACAGTCAAACCTGTACTAGCGGTCACCTTGGCATTGCGGTCACCCGGCCATAGCGGTCGGTTTTTGCCGGTCCCTTGAATTTTTCCCATTGACGTAAGCATTAAGAATCGCGTATATAGCGGTCACTGTTCAACGCGGTCAACGGTCACCCCATTCCGGTCCCGCCGGCTGTCAACACCGCCGATAGCGGTCACGGCTGGCCGGCCGTTACCCGCTAAGCACCACGTACGTAACACCACCCGACCTCGGGCTATGGCCGTTAGGACGTTCAATCAAGCCTTGTGATAATTTTGTGGCCGCTACATTATTAAAATGTGAACTGAAATTAGACTCCAGATGTATATGAAATAAAGGAAAACTTGATTTTGACACGAAATTTTTGCGGTCGCTCGTGTTGACGTCTTTGATATCTGAAACACCATGCCGTGCGTGCCGCGGTGCTTTCAGTGGACTCGGCGAAGATTGCGGCAATCATCCTTACAAAATACTTACGAATATCCATATTTGATTTTTCGATTCCTTGAAAAGCATAAATATGTGGCCAACTTCCCTTTTTCACGGGCATAATTCAAGAAATTTGGGCTGAGAAAATGCGTTTCGTGATTTTTCAAAATGGCGCAGGCTGCAACAACAATCAGGTCAATTGGGGTCATCGGAAGACTCCATTGGTTTGGAGGTAGATGTACCGACTTTTATTTAATTTTATAGCATCAAATGGCGTGATTACATTACAAAAATATTTGGAATACATTATTACAATTAATTTCCATCGTAAACTTAAGTCTGTAGTGAATATTCTACAAAATATGTAAGCCTGAAAGGAGCACTATTTTTGTTGACCACCACATTGGCATAATGGCAGAGGCAGACAACCCACGCCGGAAGAAACCCAAGCCGTAAACAAAGGAAAGTTTTCGCTACGTTTTCATGTTCAAAAATGACCAAAAACGGAAAATAAACGGCAACAGATGAACAATTCTTTTGCTGTTAACTAAATGGACAGCATCTTGGTACAAAAAAATCTTGTTTACATGGTTGGAATTCGTTGTGGCGATGTCGGTTATGCGAAGCACTCACCAAAGAACAAAAACATGGCGATGTCATTCTCTTCACTTTTCGACTTACGGTACTAGTAACGTGGCGATTGCGGAGAAACGATGGCAAAAGCGGAAAGACAGACGTCGAACTTATTCCACAAGGTGGATGTGATTCAACTGACAGCGAGTGAGAAGGAATTACCGGTCGAAGGAGCTTAGATTAAAGGAGTTTGCAGTCGGAAGAAACATGGCTTGGAGTCGACAGAAACTTTGTTGCTTGATTCGCTTTCAAGTTTTCTATAGGTAACATCGATGTAACACGTACACAAGAACAGTAAATGGCAACCAGTGATTTTGTATATTTTAGTGGGAAGGTTTCAGTAGATCAACTGAGTATCATGTCGAGTGCATGCAGTTTTGATACATAATTTTTTCAAGCCCACAACTAAAGCAAAAGAACAACAATTGTATTATAACATGTAATGTTACATTTGAAAAGAGACTTACCTGTGCAATGAATGTTTTCATA